GATTTTTTTAAGTTGATATGCCATTGGAAGGACATTGAAGACTTTATATGAAGAAAAACACACAATTTTAAATCCTTGAAGTTTTCTTTGCTTATTAAAACTGAAATTGGTACAAATACTGGTACAAAACCTTAAAATCCTAAAGAATATATTACAAAATAGCTAATAATTACATTTTTATGTAAAATGGAAACCTGGGGATAAGGTTAAAATAATTTATTTTACTTATAAAATTGTTTGGGGGGTATATTAGATAAAACCCAGAGATAAACACAAGCAACATATATGAAAGTATGTGAATTAAAATCTTCTAAAAAGTTTTAACAGTCCAGTGCCATTTCCATATTTTTGCAGTGATAAAATGTTTCACACTGGCCACTTATTTGGCTAAACTCACAAACACTGACATTGGGAAACATTTTTTGAAATTGGAGCAAATTTTTAATATAAAATTCAATTTAGTTATATCAAATTTATTTGTGAAAACCTGTCTCTTTTCATGCTATGTTTTATTTCATAAACAGGATAGGAGGACATTATTTAAGGATATTATTCCAATAATCTGAAAAAAATCCAGTAACTTTGCTAAACTTAATTTAACTGAGGATTCTTCCTTGGTAGACACATTCTGGTAGTTTCCTTCAGAGCTTTTAAGTGAGTAAGGGGGAATGGATGGATAGAGATTACAGAAATAATAGTATCTTTAATTTTATAAGCCCAGTTTAATTAAGTACCGTCTAACAACTCTTAGCAAAGTTTCAGAGTTGAGAATATGACTGCTACCTGTCACTAGAGAATTACATGGAGCCAAACAATTTCATATCACAAAGAATCATGATTCTGATTTTTGAAATAAGAAATATAAATTTTTCTCTATAAAGCTAAAGTTCTAATCTAAGCTGCACTTACCTTACGAAACAGTTATGATGAGAAAATCCATCCCTTCTTTTCTATTTTGAAAAAGAACAGCTTCCATACAGAAAATGAACTCAGCAGTTTCTTCAAAGGTTTAATACACTGTGAAAATAACATTTATATAATAACTAAACTCTTATTATTTCAATGATAGTTATTTTTCAAAAACTTAGGGCTAACAAAGAAAAGTCAGGGAATATCTTGATTGATATTCCTATATCAATCCTATAAAATGTTGGTGTTAAAGAAACATAAGTCATTGCCTAGTTGAATCAAACTTATCAAGATAGCAGTGAAGCCAAGTTAATGCCAGAGCAATGATCATCTAAATTCAAGACCCATGTTCTCTCCAGAACACCACCATTCTACCTCCCTAACATGAACTAAGGATGAGACTGTAAAGGAAGTTAAGAAACTCAAAGCAGGCTTTATAGAAACCTACTCTGAGTGTCTAACTGTTCATTAAAATACAAAGCTAGATAAGTTTTGCATGATTTAGGATAAAGCAAAAATGAAAATGTACTATTTTGTTATCACGATTTCACTTGACATTTTTTCTTCTGGTTTCATTTTCTCACACATACAAGTGTAAAATAAATAAATAAACATCAGGCATTAAAAAAAAAAACCCTCTAAACTTGATGTTTTCCAAGATGAATTCATGGGATTTGAAAATTAATAGTGAGCTATTCATTTATTCATCCCTAAGGGTGCCTCCTTTCAGTTTGACTGAAGAAAATAGGTTGAGTTTTCCTTTATATAATATAAAACACATTGGAGCAAGATTGCATCTGTCATAGGTGAAAATACCAAATTTATGCCTTCTTATCATTCATTCATTACTTTATAGACCCTAAGTCCTCCAGGGAGTGTCACAAATCCACATAATGTTCCTGAGTGTTACGTTTTGCATTTGGAGCTATGATTTAGCTGACAGATGTGAATAAACACTTGGAGTCAGGGAACCCTCTGATAACTACATGTGTGGAGACCAAAGAGTACTAATTTCTTGAAGGTTGCATTAGCATTTCCTTAAAATCCTCTTGTATGATGTCGTTTACTTAATTATTTTTGCTGTTAAATAATCTTCCAAAGAACCTACAAATATCATTTATTTTTTGTGTTATATTGTTTTCCATCATTTATAAATGAAGTAATTAAAATGAAAATGTTAGAAATTTTATGAATAAACAGAAACCTGGAATGCTACAATTTTGAGGCATACTAACAATAATGAAAATTGCAATATTTTTCTGATTGTTTTGGTGACAAACTTCAGGCATTATACAATAATACTATCTTGAATATTACCTTTAAAAAAGGTTAACTATTTCATTATATAACTGTAGAAAAATTCATTGATACAAAGGACACTTCATATTCATACTTCTAATTAACATTCAAATTTTAAAACAATCTCTGACCAAGCAATAGCAAAGTCCTACAGCTTATGAGTTCTTTTAAAAACCTGCCTGCCCCTGAAGAGATAAAAAGGAATTTCTCCAAAGATGAAATGCAAATGGCCAATAGGCATATGAAAAAATGTTCAGCATCACTTATAATAAGGGAAATGCCAATCAAAACTACAATGAGATACCATCTTACATCAGTGAGAACGGCACATATTAAAAAAACTAGCAACAACAAATGTTGGCGAGGACATAGAGAAAAAGGAAGTCTCCTGCACTGCTGATGGGAGGACAAATGGGTCCAACCACTATGAAGAGCTGCGTGGAGGTTCCTCAACCTGCTAAAGATGGAGCTTCCATATGAGCCAGCAATTCCATTCCTAGGTATTTACCCAAAGGACACAGAAACATTAATTTAAAAGGGCATCTGCACCCCTGTGTTTATTGCAGCACTATTTACAATAGCTTAGCTATGGAAACAATGCAAATGCCCAAAAATAGATGGCTGGATCAAGAAGATGTGGTCCAGATAACCAATGGAATATTACTCAGCAATCAGAAAAGATAAATTCATGCCATTTGCAGCAACATGGATGGAGCTGGAAGGGATCATGCTCAGTGAAATAAGCCAGAAAGAAAAAGAAAAATACCAGATGGTCTCACTCATAGCAGGAATTTAGAAAACCTAAATAAGGGACCAGGAAAAAGACTAATTATAATAAAGCAAAAATCAAAATCAACAAGCAACTATAAACCAGAGACACACTACAGGGTGGAGGGGGGAGGAGGGATTAGGGTCAAAATAAGGGGGGTGAAATTGTATGGGGAACATAACCAAAATGAAAATGCATGGTGCAAAAATGAAAAATGATGTAAAAGTATCTAAAATAAAATTTAAAAACCCGGTCTGCCCCTGCCTCGCCTTTTTATTTCTATCTGCAACCTGACCTGTCTACCATCTGCCAGGCCATTGTCTTTATTGTATTGCTCTCAGATAGGTACCACTCTGTCTCATGCCCAACATACTAGAGACAATATGAGTTATTTCCCCTCTATCTTATCTTTCTTTTGAAGTAAATGGCACAACTAGCTCATCCTCCTATATATTTTCAACCTCTCAACTCTACTAACTTGGTGCTCACTTCATTACATTCATCCAGTATTTTGAAACCCGTCTTTGTTTATTCAGCCAATTAAATCCATACTATGATCTTTGTGAAGAACTTCTACATCTAAGTGGAAAATGTTTTTATACTCCAGCCTTACACTTTCTTGGCTTTCTAGACTCTGTCATCATTTAGAATTTCCTTACCACTAAGAAACCTCTAAGTCTTTTAGTATTTATTCAGAAGAGTGATGGTTGTATTGTATTTAATAGGAGCAGTTTATTTCAGAAATTTAAGCAAGGAAGAGTAGTGTATGTTGATGATGATGCACTTTCAGATATTTTTGCAACTTTATAGCTTCTTTCAAGAAAACTTTTGTTTTGAAAAAATTTGACTTAAGAAAAGTCACTATATTAACATTTTATCTCATGTTATCTTTATCTTTATGTTATCTTTAGCTCATGTTATCTCATTTATCTCATTTTATCTTATTCTATCTCTGAATCATTTGAGAGGAAACCACAGGGAACATGGTCATTTAGTTTTAAATACTTCAGTCTGCCTTTCCTAAAAACAAAGACCTTCTCTTACCTGAGCAGGGTGAATTTAATATTGATAACATATACTTATTTAACATACAGTCCTTTTTCAAATTTATCTAAGTGTCCCAATATCATCCTTCTTAAGAATGCTGTTTTCACCTAATATATAATCCAGGACTATGCATTTCATTTCGTTGTCACACTTTTCAAATACCTTATGTCATGGCCTAGACTGTGTTCCCACAAAATTCACATGGTGAAATTCTAACTCCCAACACCTTATAATTTGATTATATTTGAAGACAGGTTCTTCAAAGAGATGATAATGTAAAAATTTGCTCCTAGGAGTGGTCACCAATTCAATATGTTTAGTGTCCCTCTAGGAAGAAGCTAGGACACATACATATAGGAAAAAGACTAAGTAAGAAGAACACAGATGGGAAAGAAACACACACAAACCACAGAGGGGAAAATCCTCAGTAGAAACCGATCTTGCCAATACCCTGATCTAGGACTTTGAAACCCCCCAAAATGTGAGAAAATATATTTGTTTAAGTCACCCAGTATGTGGTATTGGCAGCTGTAGCAAACAAATCCATCTTCCACATTGGAGAAATATCTATCAATATGTCTTGTATCGCCCCCCAAAAAAGTTAGAACTCAATCCCCTACAGTCCCCTGTGGCTGAAATACAAGCACATGGTAAGGATCTACCAATTAGAGGAGTCAAATGAGATGTGGATGCCCCATGAGGATGGCAGCACTAAGCATTCACCTTTCAGGGAGAATGGTGGCAAAGGTCATTTGGCTTTACATGCAGGGCTGGTGGTCAGGGCAGCCAAACACGGTAAGACTTGGACACCAGTAGAACTCGTAGCAAAGTCAAATGCCTGGGTATCAGCAAGGCAAGCTACAGCATCTAAAGTTCAGTGACAGCTAGAATGTAAGTCTTCATATTAGGTTAGTTCTGCAGCTTGAATCATGCTCCTGAAGCTCCATTTGTTTTTATTCCTGTTCTTCCCACAAATCGGTGAACTCCAGATATCTACATAGTAAATGCTGGTGAATCTACTTCTTTTGCTTGGAGTGAAAAAACTTTGACTAAAATCAAGTCAGTGTGCTTCCAAAACTTTCTTTAGCAATTCTCTGTGGCCCAGGAGCAGAAAAAGAGAAAGCAGATGATTATGGAGATTTACATAAATTCAACATGTTAATTATTCATTCTTATCTAGGTAGTATAGCAAGCTAAGAAAATTCACCTGACAAAATATCCTAGCAACAATTTTACATTTTTTAAACTAGTAAAATAACTCTAACCTAATAGTAAAATGTAATTAAGGAACAAAATAGATTCACCTTTAATCCTATCACCATAACAGCATTACATAGGTTGCTGTCTTTCCTTTTGATCTTTAACTTTTTATATTATATGTTATATTATAATGATCATAGTAATAAAATTTTACTTTCTATCTGTGTACCCACCAAGGTCCCCGGAGAATATAGATGACACCCTCCAATTAGCTATTTTAGGGAAAGTTCAATAAAGTGACAATTTATAAAAATGTGGTTCAGGTGGAGGGGGAAAAAGAAGTAGTACAATACTTCAGAGTTAGTAACCAGCTCCCAAACCAAAGGACTGAAAAAAAAAGGACTAGGAAAAATCAGTGACATATCATTGTTTTCTTAAATACTCTTCTATGATGGAGTCTTTTTTTTGGTGTAAAAAAAAAAAGGAATAAGCAATATTTTCAAGACCATCTTGGCATCTATTACTTTTTTCTTTGAAAAAATTCATGAGAAATGACGTGAAAAATTGTTATGATTGGTTCTCAGGAAAGAAGAACTTAATATAAGAAATACCTGTTGCCCTAATTGTATGTGTATATCATTTTTTAAATGGTTACATTGTAATTCATTAAAATTTTAAAATTTATATATGTTAAAACGTTTCCAGAATTCTTAGAGAAAACATTTCCTTTTGAAGATGAAGCAGTTCAGGTTCCTTTGTCCAGAAATCACATGTCCAATTAAAATAAGGTAAACTATCAGGCCTCCCCTGGCGGTGCAGCAGTTGAGCACTGGGTTAAGAAGCTGCCCGGCAGCCTCTGCAGTACCAGTTGGATCCCTGGTCTCCGGCGAGGGTCCCACATGGTGTGCAGACCTCTCCTGCTGCGCCTGCTGCTCCCCTCAGCAGTGTACTTCGTAGGTCTGCCTGTTCTGTTCCCTGCTCTGGCTCTGGTGAATTCTCTCACCCTCCCATGCTTCTGACTGTACCCAGGGCTTGTCTAAATAAATAAATAAATAAATAAACAAACAAACAAACAAACAAATAAATAAATAAATCTTTAAAAAGAAAAAATAAGGTAAATTATCGTTAGAGATTACAAATGTTTAAGGGACAAAATCCATTTATTAAGCTGCTGCTAAACAGCTTCACTTGTGACAAAAAGTTACATTTGTTTAAAATCCACTTAGCATTACCCTCCACGGAGTAGACAGGCAGAGCAGGAAAAGTGACTATAATGAGCAATGTCTGTATGGTAGCCATGACCAAAGTAGCATACTTCTTGTTTACTAACATCCCATTTGCCAGATCTTAATCACAGGCTCTCACCTATTTTCAGTGATGGTTGGGAAATGTAGTCTCTACCTGATCATTTACATTCTATCAGTAAAGTTTCTATTAATATTGAAGTGGGGTAAAAGGATATTGAAGGTAACTAGTGGTCACTCACTTGGTGCTGCCCTCTGGTCATCTACGTATCAATACACATCTTTATTGCGCACATAAAATATTCCCATTCCTCCTCCAGAGAGAATCTGGAGTTAGAGTCAACACAAAGTCCGTATATCTGGGTGAATCACTTTATCAGTATGGGAAACAATTATCTTGGTCCTACAATTTATAAACTAAAAGATAACATGTCCTCCTCATAAGCCCTCAATATATGTGGAGGGGGCCTCCCTGGTGGCGCAGCGGTTGAGCACTGGGCTGCGAAGCTGCCCGCAGCCTCTGCAGCACTGGTTCCATCCCTGGGCGCTGGTGAGGGTCCCACATAGAGCGAAGACCACTCCAGCCGCCCTCGCTGCTCACCTCAGCAGTATACTTCGTCAGTCTGCCTGTTCTGCTCTCTGCTCTGGCTCTGGTGAATTATCTCACTCACCCTCCAGTGCTTCTGACTGTACCCAGTGTTTATATAAATAAATAAATAAATAAATAAATAAATAAATAAATAAATAAATAAATAAATCTTTAAAATAAAATATATATATTTGTGGAGGGTGAGGTGGGAACAACATAATTACCTTAAAAACTCAAACTGAAAAAGAAAAATGATCAAATATGACTGTTTATGAATGTGTAAGTTCTAATTATCATGTGTTTTGGATTAATTCCTTTGATTAGTGTTCTCTCATTTACATTCTTGTTATTTTTCTGCTATGGCCACAAGTGAAAATGGAACTAAAAGATATGACCTTGCAGTCTTATACCCCTACCCTAGCCACTGCTAGGGTAGACTTTGAGAAGTAGAGATTATTTCAAAAGTTCAGTAATGACAGGTTTTATAGACCAGGCTTGTGGTTAGTAATGATTTCTTTTCATCACTTCTATTCCATCAACTCCATTTGAAGTAACCAAAATGAAAGGATCTTCTCTGGTGATAGCTTTTATAACTTTATTTATTTTTGTTTTGTTTTTTGTTTTGTGTTTTTTTAAACATTTATCTTTTTTTTTAAAGATTTATTTATTTATTTGTTTGTTTGTTTGTTTATTTATTTATTTATACAAGCACTGGGTACAGTCAGAAGCACGGGAGGGTGAGAGAATTCACAAGAGCCAGAGCGGGGAGCAGAACAGGCAGACTGACAAAGTACACTGCTGAGGGGAGCAGCGGGCAGCAGGAGAGGTCTGCGTGCCATGTGTGATCCTCTCCTGTGGCCGGGGATCGAACTGGTGCTACAGAGGCTGCTGGCAGCTTAGCAACCCAGTGCTCAACTGCTGCGCCACTGGGGAGGCCCAGCTTTTATAATTTTAGATTTTCATTTATAAACTATTTTCTAGTTTATAAACTTTTCCCCCCACCAATGATTAAATGGTAGTTACCTTAAGGCCACAAGAAACAGTAGCTAGGATGGAAGGTCAGTGAAGTAACCTAGGATATTGGGTTGCTTCAATTTTCTGATGAAGACCATTTAATATGTCAGTTTCTAGAAGGACTCTCAGAAGTCATTTTTTTCTTCTATTGCTTGCGGTTCAGATATATTTGGCTTTCTAATCTTCCAAGGTTCAAATTACTTATCTCAGAGTCAATTTTGATTATTTCTTTGTGTATGCAAGTCATTTGTTTAGTTATAATCTTATGTTTTCATACTGACTTGTCATTCAACAGATATTAACATTTCTTTTTATTTTAAACTAATGTGATATTTTCCCTTTTTTCCCCAACAACTTCACTCTTTAACAATCAAATTACCCAAAAAGCTGACAGATGATATAAGTGAAAAAAACTAAGCTTCCAATCAGTCTGTTCTCTCAACCTGAGAAGGTGTCTCTATTGTAAATATAGATGAAATCTTGATATTGACAGGTCATTAATGTGGGTTTTTTAGTGACTCCTGATACTGGTTATATGATTATATACGTGATCATATATATGTGATCATATGATCATATATATGATCCAAAGCAAACAAACAAACAAAGAAATAAACTTTGCTGTAAGAAAATGCATTTTTATAAGATCAGTATTTATTTTTCTTAACAGGGCAGAGAGTACTCCATTATGAAGATTTCGTTCCTTCAAATTTTGTTTGCAAACTCACTAATGATTGACTTAAATCAATCTTTCTCTTACTTGCTTATTAAAAGTCAGGATTTGCTCAAGAACACCAAAATTTTCACTTTTCCTAGTCACTGATAAAGAAGGTGCAGTTCCCAAAGAAATGGAAAGACATCCCCTGCTCATGGATTGGAAGAATAAACATTATTAAAATGGCCATCCTACCAAAAGCAATATACAGATTCAATGCTATTCCAATCAAAATTTCAATGTCATTCTTCAAAGAAATAGAACAATTATTGATGAAATTCATATGGAATCACAAAAAACCCTGAATAGCCAAAGCTTTCCTGAAAAAAAAAAAGAAGGGAATGGAGGCATCACACTCCCAGACTTCAAACTATACTACAAAGCCATAATCATCAAAAACTGCATGGTATTGGAACAAGAACAGACATGCAGACTAATGGAATCGAATAGAAAATCCAGAAATAAACCCACAGATTTATGATCAACTAATCTTTGACAAAGGAGCAAAGACTATGCATTGGAGCAAAAAAAAGGGTGTTCAATAAATGGTGCTGGGAAAACTGGGTCTCTACATGCAAAAGAATGAAGCTTGACCACCACCTCACACCATACACAAAAATCAACTCAAAATGGATTAAAGAACTAGACATAAGACCTGAAACCATAAAATACATAGAAGGAAATATAGGCGAAACACTACATGATATGCACATCAAAGACATCTTTACAGACACATCACCCAAAGCAGTGATATTGAAGGCAAAGATAAACAACTGGGACTACATCAAATTAAAGAGCTTCTGCACAGCAAAAGAGACAATAACAAAAACAAAGAGAAACCCCACTGACTGGGAGAACGTTTTTGCACACAACACTAATGATAAAGGACTGATCACAAAAATCTGCAAAGACCTGATGAGACTCAACAACAACAAAGAAAATAATCCAGTCAAAAAATGGGCAGAGGAGCTATAAAGAAACTTCTCTGACGAGGAAATGCAAATGGCCAACAGGCATATGAAAAAATGTTCAACATCACTTGTCATCAGGGAAATGCAAATCAAAACTACCATGAGATACCATCTTATACCAGTGAGAATGACACATATTAAAAAAACTAGCAACAACAAATGTTGGCGAGGGTGTGGAGAAAAAGGAACTCTCCTGCACTGTTGGTGGGAGTGCAAACTGGTCCAACCACTATGGAGAGCTGTGTGGAGACTTCTGGACCTACTAAACATAGAGCTTCCATATGACCCAGCAATTCCACTCCTAGGTATTTACCCAAAGGACACAGAAACATCAATTCCAAAGAACACCTGCACCCCTATGTTTATAGCAGCTCTATTTACAATAGCTAAGATTTGGAAAAAAGCCCAAATGCCCAAAAATGGATGACTGGATCAAGAATATGTGGTACATATATACCATGGAATATTACTCAGCATTCAAAAAAGATAAACACATGCAATTTGCAGCAACATGGATGGCGCTGGAAGGGATCATGCTCAGCTAAATAAGCCAGAAAGAAAAAGAATAATACCGGATGGTCTCACTCATTGCAGGAATCTAGAGAACTTAAATAAGGGACCAGGAAAATGAATAACTATAAGAAAGTGAAAATCAAAATCAACAAAAAACTATGAACCAGAGACAGTTTTTGGGAAGTGGGGGGCGGGAGGGGAGGGATTGGGGTCAGAATGGGGGGGTTGCAAATATATGGGGAATATAAAAATAAAATTTATTATTTAAAAATAAAAAATAAATAAAAAATAAATAAAGAAGGTGCAGTTCCAATAAAGATATGGCCTACCCCTACAATTATCAAAAGCAATTATTTTACTAAATGTTTTGCATCCATAAAACAAAAGACACCCAGTTTGCAAAATATGTCTGATTGTCTCTCATCACCTGGTGGTAAAGTCATTAAACTATATTTTAGAGTTTATTATGGCAATACTCATTACTGAAACCAGTTTTTACATTAAGATTGTGAATAAACCTAACAAAAGAGGTAAAGGACCTACACAAAGAAAACTATAAAACACTGTTAAAAGAAATAGACAAAGACACAAAGAAATGGAAAGACAAGCCCTGCTCATGGACTGGAAGAATTAACATCAAAATGGCCATTCTATCAAAAGCAATTTACAGATTCAATGTTATTCCAATAAAAATTTCAATGACATTCTTCAAAAAAATAGAACAAATATTAATGAAATTCATATGGAGTCATCAAAATCCCCGAATAGCTAAAGATTTCCTGAAAAAAAAAAAAAAAGAAGGGAATGGAGATATCACACTCCCAGACTTAAAAATATACTACAAAGCCATAATGAACAAGAGCAGACACACAGACCAGTGGAACCAAATAGAAAATCCAGAAATAAACTCACAAGTTTATGGTCCACTAATCTTTCACAAAGGAGCAAAGAATATGCAGTGTTCAATAAATGGTGCTGGGAAAACTGGATCACTACATGCAAAATAATGAAGCTTGACTACTACCTCACACCATGTGCAAAAACCAATTCAAAATATTAAGGAACTAGACATAAGACCTGAAACCATAAAATATACAGAAGGAAATATAGGCAAAATACTACATGACATACACCTCAGTAACATCTTTAAAGACACATCACCCAAAGCAGTGATAGTGAAGGCAAAGATAAACAGCTGGGACTACATCAAATTAAGGAGCTTCTATACAGCAAAAGAGACAGAAACCAAGATTAAGAGATACCCCACTGATTGAGAGAAAATTTTTGCACACAACACTAACGATAAAGGACTGATCACAAAAATCTACACAGAGCTGACAGGACTCAACAAAAACAAAGTAAATAACCCAGTCAAAAAATGGGCAGAAGAACTAAAAAGAAATTTCTCCAAAGAGGAAATGCAAATGGCCAACAGGCATATGAAAAAATATTCAACATCATTTGAATCAGGGAAATGCAAATCAAAACTATTATGAGATACCATCTTACACCAGTGAGAATGGCACATATTTAAAAAAAAAAAAAAACTAGCAACAACAAATGTTGGCGAGGACATAGAAAAAAAGGAACTCTCCTGCACTGCTGGTGGGAGTGAAAATGGGTCCAACCACTATGGAAAGCTGTGTGGAGGTTCCTCAACCTGCTAAAGATGGAGCTTCCATATGATCCAGCAATTCCACTCCTAGGTATTTACCCAAAGGACACAGAAACATTAATTCAAAAGGGCACCTGCACCCCTATGTTTATTGCAACACTCTTTACAATAGCTAAGCTATGGAAACAATGCAAATTCCCAAAAGTAGATGGCTGGATCAAGAAGATGTGGTACATAAATACAATGGAATATTAGTCAGCAATCAAAAAAGATAAACTCATGCAATTTGCAGCAACATGGATGGAGCTAGAAGGGATCATGCTCAGTGAAATAAGCCAGAAAGAAAAAGAAAAATACCGGATGGTCTCACTCATAGCAGGAATTTAGAAAACCTAAATAAGGGACCAGGAAAAAGACTGATTATAATAAAGTAAAAATCAACAAGCAACTATAAACCAGAGAAACACTACGGGGTTGGGGGGGGTAGGAGGAATTAGGATCAAAATAAGGGGGGTGGAATTGGATGGGGAATATAACCAAAATGAAAATGCATATATTGTGCAAAAATGAAAAAAATGATGTAAGAAATATCTAAAATGAAAAAAAAAAACTAACAAAAGGGTACTAATTACATCCTTGTAACAAAGAAATAATGAAATACAAGATTTGAACCATATACATTTAAGTCATAGAGGTTTAAGTTACATCATACAGGTTAAAATATATCATTTAAATCATATATTTGGACATGTTTTCTCATCTAGCCACATACAAGAAAGTGATACAGGGCAGATAGATTGATCCTGCCATCCTCAATATATGGTTTTGATCTTTAGATCCAAGCAGCTGCTCCACTTATATTTATTTTTCCAGTTAAGGAAAAAGAAATAAAAAGGAAGTGGAAAATAAGCTTTTTTTTCTTTTGAGAGATATGACTTAGACTTTGGATTTTACCTTAGTTTACATTATTTTGGCCAAAAGCTAGCCATATTGCGGCATCTAACCAAAAAGGAGGCAGGGAAATATAGCTTTGCCAGGTAGCCGTTCATGCAGTTAAAAACAAAGAGGTTTTATTAGTAAGAAAAAGGAAGTGAATGGATAATAGTGTAAAATGAGAAGCATCTTTCTATTACTATGATGCTCTTTCCATTAAACTGACCTTAAGAATTAACGGCATGACTTTTCAGAAATCTAAATTTGGAAGAATTGAGTGCCAACTTTTGGGGAAAAAATAGCTAAGGGTGCAGAGTATAGTGATATTTTTCCTTAGGCCAAAACAGTTGAGAAAATTTTAGACATCATCTTACCTTTAATTTGGACCATATCTAAAGCATTCTGGGAAAATTGTTAACCCAATTTAACATTATGTAATCTCTAAAGGAGATCTCAAGCTTCTCTCAGCATTATTTTCTGTCATTTTATTTTGAGAAAGAGGGCCTCACCCCAAATCCACATTTCTTTGTAATATAGTGTAGTGTGATGGTAAAGAAGGTTGCATAGACTCGGTCTACCTAGGTTTAAATCCAAGGGATTTCAGGTCTGCTGTTTACCAATTTAGTGACCTAGGGCCACTAAATCTTTGAAAAAGTTCAATCTTTCAAACCTCATTTCCCTAATCTATAAAAGGACTGTCATATCTGAACTCACTATACAGGGGTATTAGGAGAATTAAGGGGTTTATAAATGTGTAAAACATTTAGAAGAGACCCTGGCATTTGGATAATTCTTGATGAGTAACAGACACTGTTATCTTCTTGTATCTTTTCTCAGGTCAGAAGATACTCCCAAAAGAAATAATACCTGCCTTTACAATAGCAACTCAACTAGATTAATTATTGAAATTAATTAGACTATATAAAGTTACATTACTTTATATTATTAAAAAGTGTGTTATATTAATACAAATTGATAGCATAAATAAGGCAAAATTTTTAACTACTTAAGAATGAAAGCCCAACAAATCTTTTCAAGTACCACCTTAATGGGAGATTTTGCATTAAACATAAAACTATAGTAATTGCAAAATAATTCTCTTCTGTTTGTGAAACATTTTAACAGTCTAAAATTACATTTCAACACCAACTTCCAGTGCTCATGCTCTTGAAAAAATTACAAAATGAAAGCAAATGTACTGTTTCTTCTGATTATAAAGATAATATAATTAAAAAATCAAAAATATAGAAAAGTATAAAAAAGAAAAAATATCTGAATTATCTGAAATTCTCTACTATAAAATAACTGCTGCTTAGCATTTAGTGAATATCTTACTAGATAATTAAGAAGTCTTATAATTTTTTTTGAAAAGGCCTTTCTGGTTATGATAGAAAATCTTTTCTACAGATAAAAACTTCAGAATCTCGACAAAATCATTAAAAATAGCTATTTGAAGATAATGAAAATTACAAAAATGTTGCAAAATCTCGAGAATAGTTAACTTCAAAGAGCTACTGTATAGGTCAAGAACCATGAGTTTGCGGCCTTCTTGCCTATGGTACTTCTCAAGCCACTCCACCTCCTCAAAGCAGGTGATAGGGAACTCAGACATAGTACTTCAAAGCAAGAGATAACAAAGTAGAAGGCAGTCATCAACTGGGTATTTAAGGGGGAAATCCACCAAGCAAAATAGCAGTAGAAGGGTGGCAATCTAAAAATTAAATATAAAGTTGCTCAAAATCCTGGCCACCTGTAAACTATACATGAGCCTGGACCCCACAGGGAATCTTAAAAGCATGTGGAAACTTTAAAATAACATCTACCTTTGAACAGAAAAACTAGCTCCTGCCAAGATTTGCAAGTATACTCACCTTTGACTAAGTGCATTCTTCAATCTACTCACAGCTGTGCAAGGGAGAAGGTGAATGCCTTACTGGCTTGAGGTGTTATAGAACTCAGGGCTGGGAAAGAGACGAAGAAATTTATTCTTATGGCTTAAGAACCCATTCAATAGATATGAAAATTTATATTCACAAAGGTTTGTAAACAAAAATTTATTGGACCTTTAAGAGCTCCCAACTCAAAACTCCAACCAGCTTCAATGTACAAAAAGGAAGCAAAACAAATTACAGGTATCTTTAAAGATGAACATCATTCAGGAATAAAAATACAGGAATGTGAATGTGTGGAACATTTCAGTGAAGATCTACAGTGCTATGCTAAGTGAGAAAAGTTAGACACAAAACTTCTTACGGTCTGATTTAAATTATTAAAACATCTAGAAAGACCAAAGTATAGGGACAGATTGTAAATCAGTACCTGGGGTTGAAGATGAAGGGAGAAGATTAACTTCAAAGTGACAGGGTGATGGAAATGTTCTATATCTTGATGTGATGGTGGCTTCACCACCGATTCATTTGCCAAAACTCATCAACCTGTATTTTTAAGATGGGTGCATTTTATTGTATGAAAATTATTTCTCAGTAAAACAGTTAATAATAATACTTATCTACCTTACATTTTACTTCCCATTCTCCAATTGTTTATAGTACAATATATTGTTCAAAATGATTCTGATGAAAATGGCTCCATGAAAAACAGAATAAGCTCTCAGCGTCTCTTGATTATCTGTGGATTTTAAGTAATATTGTCCCTAAGTAAAGTGATTGAGGCCAAGAATAACAGATAAGGATAATGATATCAGATTTCACAAAAGAGTTAACAAATTTCATGATAAAATTTATCCCTACAATTTTTTTTTGGGGGGGGAAGAAGGCATCTATATGTACATATGTTGTCTTTCTTAATATATAAATATATTTTTAACTGAAGTAATATCAGGCTACCCCATCAGGTATTACCTACCATCATAATGTTTTAAATCCTTAATTCTTCCAGATAACAACAAATTCAGATAATACTTATAGGCAAAGTATATGCTATCTAATAATCCTTTTTCAATAATTAGAACCCATCCAGGTTGGCACTGTAATTTTGAACCTTTGGTCTCTAGAACTGTGAGAAAATAATTTTTGTTATTTAATTCACACAATATATTGTATTTTGATATAGAAAACTAAGCAGATTAAGTTACCTCATAGACACCTTGAACAAAGATGGTACACTCAATATACATTGGAAAAAAATACATTCTTATATATAGTCTTCAGTAATTGTTTCATGAATATAAAAACTTATAAGGCAAGTTTGTTAGTTTATTAAAATGTCATTAAAAATAAAAAAGCAAGTTAAAGGTAAAATCTAAGAAAATGAGGTGATTTTATAGTCAAGAAATGAAATAGCATAGAACAATTAAAACAAATCATTTCTAGGGAAATTAGTAATTTACCAAGAATAACATCCATTTCTCTGCATTACCCATCACCCAAACTTACAAACAAGCTTAGAAATAATGTTATTTTTATTTAGAGAATATACAAAGAAGTGAAATGAGAGCAAATACTGAGAAATGTCATTGAGATTGTCCTACATAAATACACTAACTCTAGGTTAAATATACTCTAATCTCCTAGTCATATTTTATTTGAAGTATGATTAATATCTACATTATGATCATTTACAAAGCTAAAGAGACTAAATCACATATCTCAATTCACCCTTAGAACAAGAAAGCATTGAAGACCATATTGTAAGCATGAGGGTGACGACCTTTACTAATGCAATGCTAAGGTTCAGTAGTTGAATGAACAGAAACTACCTGTAACACTGTAATGTAAAAGGTGAAAATCAGAGAACCAGGATCACATTTCTCTCTCAAAAAGATGTCAGAAGATGAAGACTTGCAGACTTCTGCATTACCTCCCTGTAGTATATAGTTTGGTTCAAATTCAAAACAGTAAATTCACTGGAAAGGGACAGAAAGCAAGATCCTACATGGTCAGCCTTTTCTTCAATGAGCCAGTTTTCAAATAAAGGTGAATGAACGGTGTGCTCTTAAGTCTGGTTTTCATCAAACTCCAAAAGAGCTTTTGTTTTGAGAAAAGGAGATTCAATATTAAAATTGTACAGAGCCAAGTCATATTCAGCGGTTTTATTTAACTCCTCAGTTTTTATATAAACATTGTAATATGGATTATGTGACCTTATTTGAACTTCTATGCAGGAGTAAATAAAATAATCAAAAACAGGAAAATGATCAGATACAGTATCTGGCTTGGTTAAAACAGTTAACTGTTGCAGAAGTTGAGCTGGGAGGCTGAGATCTGGCCAGCCCCGATCTAACTTCCATTGTTGTCCTGGTTGTGCACAGTCTTGTTCAGTTATGGATTTGATGACTATCTTCCAATTTGAAGAGAGGTGAATGTAACTTTGGATAACCAGGCATTATCATTTGTAGTGGATATGTATGTCTGGTTATTCATTTGCCAGTGTCATCTTCCCTCTGACTTGTGATGAGCAGAAAACAAATGAACAAAATAAAAATAAATGAAACCAGTCAATCTTATAGAAAGTACATTTAAGACATGAGAAACACGATAGAAATTTTTATGAATGTTTGAAATATTCTCTCCTGGTAATAGTTTTGAGAACTTTTACCTTCTTTCTCTTAATTGGTTGCATAACTTTCACTTTTTTAAAAAAAGCAATTGGTGCATTTTTGAGCATACACTATTTGAAAAGTCCAATAATTGGTAATACTATATATTTACCTACAAAAATGGTTTTTGTCTATGGTTATTGTCCTTACAGAACTTTTAAGTCTTGCAAGGGAAGATAACACAAGCATACTAATAACTAGAAGCAATATGTGCTAACTCTCTTGAGAGTGCCACAAAGAAAGTGCTAAAGGAACACTACTTCTTCTAGGTCTAAGGCCCCAGGAGTGCAATTCAGCTAATCAGGAGGGCATAAATTCTAACTTTGTTCCACTTCACATTCTCAGATGACAGGGGCAGAAGTCTACTCCCATTGAGATCTATGGCTTTTGCTACATGAACAAAAAAAGTGACTTACTCTCTGACGACACAGACTCCTATTTGGCTTGGTTAATCTGCTCTCACTTCCCTTAGGAAGGTAATTGAAGTCAAGGAAGTTGCATGTAGCGATTTGGAGGTTTGCAACTAAGAAATTCTTAGATTTAGGGGCATATGTAGCCTTTCATGTACAAAGTTCTCATTTTAACCTACCTCAGGCTACCCAGCTTTACTGATTTATAGTTAATTAGGATTGAGATTTTCATTGAAAATTCGAATACTTATATGCTTTTTTGTATGCATTTCAGATCACGTTGGCTGAAGCAAATAATTGTAACAGCACTCAAGAAATGAATGAATACCACAGGGAAGAGCTTCAACCGCCCCTGCCCCTGACAACCTGTAAGTAAATCCTGCTGTGTTCCCTGTTCACAGAAATATCTTTCTGACATCACTTGCAATAGCTGAAAGATTTCTTTTCCTATCAGCTAACAAAATCCCAATACTATTTCCTCACTTTTTAACCATGTCTCAAAATCCCTTAAGAAAGTTTCTGCTATTTGCTGTTAGACTTTTACACTAGAATTAAATTCTTTGTACCATATAGAGACTTAGTTATTATGTGTGTGTACAAATCCCATTGTGATAAATGAACATCATTTGGGCATAGGATTGAAAGAGGAAATTCATATTAATTATGGCAAGGACAGAAGAATATACTGTTACTAGAATGATTTAATGAAATATACCATTGTACATTCCAGGCATTTGATAAATATAGAATTCTAGTAAAGAAAGCTCTTCATTCTCATCTTAAGGAAGGAAAAGCAAGACCTCTTTGCATATTTTTAAGATATTAATGAATAGCTATAACTGAGATATGACTTTCTTTATACTAATGGTTAAAAAAAAAAAAAAGGAAATCAAGTGTAACCTACCCATAACTGACTGACTTTATCTGTAATACTTTTCTTGATACAAAAGAACAGATAGCTATGTAGAATTAGCTAACTGATCAGGTTGAGGGAAACATTTTATCCCTATCAACCTATCAAATCTTTTCTATCTCTTTGCAATTTGCTGCTTATGTGCTATTTATGAAAATACTCCACATACTAAAATGCTGAAGTGAAAATGCTTCTGTTGCAGTTGATTTAGAAACTACCTGTTATTTAGAAAATTTACCTGTTATTTAGAAATTCACCTGTTATTTCAGTTACCAAATCAAGATATCCTGGCAAGGAAAAGTCTAAAATGTAAACCTGCAATTAGCACATTCTTTTAAAATTACAATAACATTATATCATGATTTATAAGGAATTGATCAAAATTAGCTGAATGGAGGGTATGCTAGATACCTTACCTTTTAGAAGCTGAGATTAATGAGAGCCCATAGAAAAACATATTATTTCTGATTTCCAAACTAATCTTTTACCTTTTCTTGAAAATTAATTTATTTGTAAATGTATTTGCATGCTACAATAAACACTGGCCAGCTGAGAAATCACAATAAAATATTCTCTAACATATTGCTAAATACATTAATCTTGTTTTATCTTCTGGAAAAATCTCAATTGTATTCACAAATGTTTTCTTCTATTCACTTAACTCTTAATTTCTCAGTGAGAAACAGCCTCTACAGATTTACCAAAATGGGTACCTAAATATCACTGAACATTAACTTAATATAGAGAATTTTCCACCTGAGGGGATGACTTTTTTCACTATCTTGACACTTCACCTCTTAAGATTTATAGTTCTTGACTACCTGGAAGTAATTATTTTGTTAACTTCAAGAGAAAAATGCTGATTGTACGATTGTGTGAAAAGTAAATGTCTTCTCATGGTTTACACTTATGATTGAAAAATAAATCTGGAGACTAGGGTCTATGTTTGGATCGGCCTCATTTAACTGATGACAATTGAGTTGCCTGAGTGTCTGTAACCTTCATTACTTCAAAGCATAAAACCCTTACATACACATACACACACACACACACACAATATTTTAAATGAAAACCAAGTCTTGTGATAACTTATTTCCAAGGACTAAGTTATGCACCTATGAATAATAGGTTTAAAATAGAGAAGATGACAAATTAAATAGTTATATTTCCATATTTTTAAATTCAGAAGTAAGCCTGACATTAAAATAGGCTATTCACAAATCTTTCTAACCCATTGTTCACATTCACTTTACTTCATTTTGATGTTGTTACATATGTTGTGGCACTCTTTTCTCCAGATTGGCACAGTCTTATGTATCTTTGTTTCTCTAGCATTTATCGCAGTATAGTATGTGCTCAATAAATGTCCAGGAGAATGTGAAATTGATATGGATATAGGCACAGCCGATATCTTTGTAGGTTATAAGGCCACTGAAAGCATAAAAATGTGAAGTACATTTGGCCATTATTTTTGAATCAGAAT